CCTGCCACGTGTGGTTGGTGAAGCCCTTGAAAACGAAGGGTAACAGATAAGGGGGGGGAATGAGGACGAAGGGATCGGAGGAAGGGAGGGGAGGGGCAAGAAGGGCGGAGGACAATGATTTGCCAAAGTCTGGGGTCAGTGAACACGGGCGGATGGCGGGAGAAGGGAGGTGGAGTCGGCCAGGTGCAGGAAATCCGGACAACTGTCCTGGGGCTGGCTTTTGACAAGCGCTTCCTGACGGCCCAGGAGCCCGAGACTGGTCCCCAGAGGCCGAGAACGTCGAAAAAGTGCCGTCCTGGTTTTGTTCACGAGGTCGGACGGCTGGGTTACGGGAGGGAGGACCCTGAGATCCGACGTCGCGAAAACATCAAGACCTCGTGACCCTTTCTGCGGCACTCCTCGAGCCAGATCGATCCGGGCAGGCCCCAGGCCCGAAGCCAGGAGATCAACGCCAGGAGCGAACGAAAGTGCGACGCCGGGATCTCTCGAGGACGAGACGGAGAAGAGGGAAGAGGACTCCACTCGAATCACCATGAGCACCATCTGGGCGACGATCAAAAGCGGGCCTTGCGCGAGATGACGTAGCGACCTTGCGCGGTGGCTCACGCAGGCCGCCAGCGCGGCACGCCACGCTGGAAGCGAGAGCGCTCACGCGCGACCCTACGCGGGCAGCTTGCGCGCCAGCGTCGGCGACGACGACCCCGTTTTCTTGCGTCGCCCATCTGTGATCAAGTGGGCCGTGCGCTGGGCACAGTCGCGTCTGAGCAAGACCGTCAAAGATCGGTGATAAGTGACGCGCGCCAGGAGCGGCGAGCCTGCAAGCGGAGCTCGCATGGAGGCTGCGGCTTCGACGGGGCAAGGCCCTACGGCACCGTGGGTGTCAGGGAAGCGCCCCCAGAGTCACCAACAAATGAATGGCCGTGGGGCGGTGTCCTACAAACGTCCCGAGCATGTCACAACCTAGCACGGGAGAGAAGCAAGCCAGCAAGCAAGCAAGCAAGCAAGCACGCAAGCACGCAAGCAAGCACGCAAGAAAGCAAGCAGAGGATTACGAACGCAGCGCCACGCTTGGAAAAGAAAACCCCACACACACACACACACACACACACACACACACACACACACACACACACACACACACACAGTTCTGTAGACATTTCGCGCACGTGAGATGACACAAAAAAAGGGACCCCCACAATGGGAACCCCACGTGGCAACTTTATGCACCCCGTACAACACGAGACTGGTCAGGGGGAGGAGGAAGGGGAAGAGGAAGAAGAAGAGGACAAGTGTAAACCCATGCATCATCAACGATGTGGGAAGAAACCCTCCCTCCAAGCTCCCTCCTCATAGGCCCCTACAACGGTTCATTTCCACTGAGGGAACGGCCTCGTTGGGAGACAACCGTTTGAAGACCCTGAGGCATGCCGAAGCATTATTATCGGGACTCCAACGCCACGGATCAACCTGACTGCTGCGTCTTGACGATCCTGAATCGTGCCAAAACGCCTTACCTTGGAATTCAGCACCGCGAATCAACGTAATAGTTGTACCCTCATAATCCTGAATCGCTCCACAACCCCATTTCTGGTACGCTGATCAAAGAAACCCGCGAAACTCTTGCAAATGTTTACAATAAACGACTATGCGCGGCGCCAAAGCGAGAGCCACGTTCTGGAAAGCAACCTCCCTCAATCCGCGAAACCCTTGCACATCTTGCAAACGAATGCGCGCGGCGACAAATCGAGAGCCACATTTTGGAAACGGCCCGCCCTCAACAGGTGAAACTCTTACAAATTGTTAAATCGAATGTGCGCGGCGCTAAGGCGAGACCACATTTTGAAAACCACCCGCCCTCAATCCGTGAAACTCTTGCAATGTTTAAAAACGAGTGTGCGCGGCGCTTATGCGAGAGCCATATTTTGGTACCGGCCCGCCCTCAACCCGTGAAACTCTTACAATGTTTGAGAAACGAATGTGCGCGGCGCTAAGGCGAGAGCCACAGTTTGAAAACCACCCGCCCTCCATATGTGAAACTGTTGCTAAGTTTTCAGATTCAGGGTCATACATGGTAAGGAAAGCTCAAGCGAAACGCCCGGCCCACCCTAAAAACTGGCCTCGGGTGCGACAGGGAGAAGTTATGTATAAGGAACAAGAATGGAGGAGGAGAAGAAGGAGGAGGAGCTACCTCTATCTGTTCTCACCCTGCTGACGGCTACGTTACCCCGTGCCCAACAGCGCTGCTATGCTTTCCTTTGGCTTCTTGCACTTCCATTTCTGTACGTGCCGTCAGCTTCATGATTATGTTTGCCACGCGCTGCTGAGTCGGACCCTCTTCTTTGTTCAGTCACCAGAGTAGAACGCTCCAGGTCCGCCGCTCAACTTTGACCGGCGTTAAAAAAAGATGAGGAGGAGGAGCAGGGGAGGAGAGGGAGGGGGAGGGGAGGAGGCCAGGGAGGAGAAGAAGGGCAGGGGGACGAGGGGGACGAGGGGGACGGGGATTGGGAGGGAAAATAAGGTGCAAGCGTCCTCCGTCGGCGGCGGCTTCGGCGCGGGCTTCGGCTCCTCCGGTGCGCCGAGGAGGGGGGGGCCGCGAAGAGAAAAGTTGGCGCACCATGGCCCCAGGCGTGGGGGTGGACGACGGGGGGGGGGGCCAGGGAACGCATCGAGAGAAGAGGGGGCCATGTAATGCGGGATGACGATTAATACAAAAAAATGGGGGAGAACGATTCAAGATAATAGTTTTCTGCGATTTCTGCACAATTTTCTGACTGGAGGAGAACGATTTAAAAAAAAAGTTTTCCAGCCCGCGGCCGGTTTTTTCTAATCGTCATCCCGGGCGCCGCCGCGTGAACACGACCCCCGGTCACTTATGAATCGTCATCCTCCATTAATCTGGCAGATTGCATGGCCCTGGCCACGATACCGCCGAAAATCCCATCAGAACGGCCATCACTTGACAGATCTGGGCCAGCCTCCCGGAAGCTTCCGAACAGAAGCCTGGGCCGACGTCTGAGCTTCCAACCCAGACCCCCGACGTCATGATTTTTTCATTACGTCGACCCCTGGAGGTCTCGACCCATTCCCCGGGACCGGTTTTGCATCCTGAGTCGTTTTTTCACGCTCCCGAGGCCCGGCGAGGGCCCCCGGAGGCCGAAAATTAGGAAAAACCTCCCGTCGTGATTTTTTCATTACCCGAGGGGGTCTGGGTCTGAGCTTCCAACGCTGGAGGGCGAGCGGGCTCAGGGAGCCGAGCGGCCAGCTGGCCATGACCGTGATGTCCACACACACCACTCCGGTCCTCGAGCCCCCCCCTGCGACGCCCGGCGGCCTTCGCATCAGGGCGCGAGGAGGAGGAGGAGGAGGAGGAGGAGGAGGAGGAGGAGGAGGAGGAGGAGGAGGAGAGAGGGGGAGGGGGAGGAGGAGGAGGAAGAGGAGGAGGAGGAGGAGGGGGGAGGAGGAGGGAGGAGGAGGAGGAGGAGGAGAGGAGGAGGAGGAGGAGGAGGAGGAGGAGGAGGAGGAGGAGGAGGAGGAGGGGAGGAGGAGGAGGGGGAGGAGGAGGAGGAGGAGGAGGAGGAGGAGGAGGAGGAGGAGGGGAGGAGGAGGAGGAGGAGGAGGAGGAGGGAGGAGGAGGAGGAGGAGGAGGAGGAGGAGGGGGAGGGGAGGGGAGGAGAGGAGGAGGAGGAGGAGGAGGAGGAGGAGGAGGAGGAGCTCTCGGCGGGGCGCAGACGCTGGAGAGCACCCCGAGAGGCGAGAAGGGCCCCGGGCACTGGCGAAACCCTCCTCCCTACGTGCTCCAGATGTCGTAGTAAAGGGAGGAGGGTCTGATTTCGGGGGGGGGGGGGGTCTCTTCCAGGCTATCTTGGAGGGCCTGGGGGGGTCTGGGGACGACGTCTTGGAGGGTTCTCCCACGGGGGGGGGGGTCTGAAACGGCCTGTCTTGGAGGGTCCAGACCCCCTCCCTTTTATCACGAAATCTGGAGTACTTCCTTACCCATCCATGAGGGGAGTCCCCGTGGAGTAACACACACACACACACACACACACACACATGCACAAGAGGGAGGGGAGGAGCAAGGATGGAGCGGGCCACCCGCTCTCTGGCCGCGCCCTCGGCGGGCCCACGGCCTGGCCCGCGAACCCTCCTCCCCCCATACCCCCCTCGGCGACGAAAACTTCCCCGCCCCGCTCGTGTCGGCCAAACGCAGAGCCCAAGCGCGCGCGTGGGCCCGCACCGCAAGGTCACTCCGGCGAAAGGCCACTCTTACGGCAGGCTGGTGTCGTGACGACCCCGTCGTCGCTTTCTGACACCGCGCGGATCGTTCAGCCTCGACTGGTCGGCGGCTCTTCGATCGCCCGATCGTTCCGCGTAGGCCGACTCTGGGCCACTGGCGGCGTTCAACAATGAAAGCCCGCGGCGGGGTCGCCGCCGGTCGACAAGACGCGAACCTACAGCACGGGCACTCCGCATCTCATGGCAAAAGGAGCGTGGTCTGATTTCGGGTGTCCGACTCGCGCCGTCTTGGAAGGCTCTGGGGCGTCTGGGCAGGAGGCCGCTCTTTCCTCTCGGGCCTGGAGGGATCCAAACTTGCTCGCCTAGGAGGGTTGTGACCCCCCCTGGGCGAGCAACGACATATGTACATGTACGCCCCCCGCGGTCTTGCCTGCACGAACGTCCGCGTTGACACGCGCTCAAGGGGAAGCTAACCGCGTACGTGTACATATGTTGCTGGCCCCCCTTACAGTGGAGGCCCGACCACAAGAAACCTTCCACAAGAGACCCAACCCTGAGACCCCAGGACGTCCACTGCTTATTGATGTGGGAACGCCACGCCTGCCACGGCAAAACCATCGAAGCCCAAGAAACCCAGGGCGCCCTGGAGGCAAGCAGGGTGCTCCTTGGCATGGTGCTCCTCCGCACCATGCCATCCAGAGTGGCCGATCTTCGCCGGCCCCCCCTGAGCCATGAAGCTCGGAACGATCGATCTTGCACGGCCCCGAGCTCCGCTGGCTTCGGCGCCGGCTTCGGCGGCTCCGGCTTCGGCGCCGGCTTCGGCTCCGGCGCCGGCGGCTTCGGCGCTGGCGCGGGCTCGGGGGCCTGTCGGGGGGCCTCTGGGCTTAGGTCGGGCGTGTCCTCTTACAGGCGGATTCTGGGCGAAAATCTAAGAATAGTCACTGTATATATAGATATGTATATATATATATATATATATACATATATATATATATACATACATACATATATATATGTATTCAAACATAAGCCAAAAATAATCGACAAAATCGTCCCCATACTACTGTTTGACCAAATTTTGAATACTCCTGCTGTAAAGGGACGTGCCCGACGTAGCTCGCGGGGCTTGCTGTGCGTAGGCGCGGGGCGGCTGCCCGGCCTGCACTGGTCGTGCGAGAGAGAGAGCCCGTCGCGGCCGCAAGTGGGGGCCTGCCCTCTGCCAGAGCCTCGCGGCTCGGGAGGGAGGGAGGGAGGAGGAGGAGGAGGAGGAGGAGGAGGAGGAGGAGAAGGAGGGGGAGGAGGAGGAGGAGGAGGAGGAGGAGGAGGAGGAGGAGGAGGAGGAGGAGGAGGGGGAGGAGGAGGAGGAGGAGGAGGAGGAGGAGGAGGAGGGTGGAGGAGGAGGAGGAGGAGCGTGGAGGAGCAGGTCGAAGCAAAGCAGTTCTGGGCAGGTCGCCCGCTTCACGATAATCTCGGTCGAAGCAAAGCAGCTTTGGGGAGCGCGGGCACTGCAGTGCAGAGCACTGCTCCCGGGAGAGGGAAAGAGCATGGCGCAGAGGATTCTGGGGAAGCTTGCGCGGGAAGCCTGGACTCTCGCGAACTTGTCGCGGGAGGCTCGGACTCCGCGATTTTTCCGCGGGAGGCCTGGACTCTCGCGAACTTTGCGCGGAAGGGCGGGACGCTCTCAAATTTTTCGCGGGGAGGCCTGGACTCTCACGAATTTTTCGCGGGAGGCCCGAACTCCTGGATTTTTTGCGGGAAGCCGGACTCTCGCAATTTTTGTCGCGTTGCTTGGCGTTGCTTGGCACTGATTTGCTTGGCGTTGCTTGACACTGATTCGGCATTGATTCGGCTTTGCTTGGCGTTGACTTGGCCGAGAAAGGCAGCAAGGAACCAAGACCAAGGAACCCGAGCAACGTAGGGCGCCGCCAGTGCAAGAAACCAAGACCGAGGAACCCGAGCGACGACCAGCGCCGTCAATGCGAGAACCCAAAAATCAAGGGACCCATAAGCAAAGCCTGATTAGGGAAGAGCCACGACGGGAATGTCTTTTCCTCGTTTTCGGCCCCGGGGGGCCCTCAGAAAGCAACCCAAAATGGAAAAACCTGGCCCGGGCACGGGGTCAAGTAGGTGGCGACATCCGAACCCTACCCGCGCCGCCCATTGAGTTGCCTGAATCGGCCACCGATCAAGACATCTAAAGGCCTCCATTCGAGATGCAGGCACGACGTCGGAGGTCCCGGCTCCCTGAGACCGGAGGCGCTGCATTTTTGTTCGCCCCGGGCGGTTTCGCCTGGCTTCGGGCCCCAGGACCCTCACGGATCGATCTGGCTCGAGAAAGGTCGCAGAAATACGGTGTCTACCCAGACATCCGAGGATGCGTGTTTTCCGATCCGCGGGCCCCGATGCTCGACCACGACCCTGGGGGGCAAGCGCTCGTCCCGGATCTGCCCTGATGGCCCCGGGCCCCAAAGCCAGCCCGGGGAAGCCGAGACGAGGGGAAAAGGCTGGCATTGAAAAAATCAGTCCCTGGGATTGAAGGGGCCCCAGGACACACAAATAAATACACACAAATCAACAGATTCCCAATATTTTCCCATGTTTTCTGGGTTCTTGTCTTCCCCCATACTTCCCATATCTTCCTATATTTCTGGGGAATCGACGATTAAGTGTGTCTGTGTGTTCTTCCCCCTCCTGAGGGATGTCTGGGTGGAGCCCTGGCCGCGATGCGTCGGCCGTGCTCCACGTCTCCCCGCGAGGCCCGCTCTCGGGCCCAGCCTTCGAGCGGGGGGCGGCCTCCTGCATCGCAGCGGTCCTCCTCCTCCCCTCCGCCGGCGGGGCCCGCCGTCGGGGCCCCGGGGCCAGAGGCCTGCCCAGGCCCCGGGGGAGGAGCAGGAGAAGAGGGGCGGGGGCAGACGCAGGAAGGGGAGGGACGTGCAGGTGCCCGCGGGGTGCGTCGGCCCAGAGTGGCGCACGCGCGCTCCGAGGCGCCGCGGAACAGCGCGGGGGCTCGCGCTTCCACCGCGAGGCGCGGGCACCCTTCGCGCCCCCTGCCGCCGCAGCGGGAGGCATGGACCGCGACTGCCGTCGACTCGCTGGGGGGTGCTTCGGCTCTGGCACAAGGGCGGGTTGCAAAGCACCTTCCCGCGGGATGTGGGCGAACAGGGGGCGACCGAGCGGCCCCGCGAGGCTGCCAGAAAACATGGGGAAAGCCGCGAGGCTCAGAGGGAGGAGGAGGAGGAGGAGGAGGAGGAGGAGGAGGAGGGGAGGAGGAGGCGGAGGGAGGAGGAGGAGGAGGAGCAGGAGGAGGAGGGAGAGGAGGAGGAAGAGGGAGGAGGAGGCGGAGGAGGAGAGGAGGAGGAGGAGGAGGAGGAGGAAAAGGGGAGGAGGAGAAGGAGGAAGAGGAGGAGGAAGAGGAGGAGGAGGAGGAGGAGGAGGAGGAGAAAAAGGAGGAGGAGGAGAAGGAGGAAAAGGAGGAGGAAGAGGAGGAGGAGGAGGAGGAGGAGGAGGAGGAGGAGGAGGAGGAGGAGGAGGAGAGGGGGGGGGCCGCGAATCCAAGCGTAAGGGGGAACGCTCCAGGCCAAGGCACCCGATGACTCAAGGAAAGAATCTGGGGACATCCTTTGAACGCTGCGCGCACGTTGTGACAAGCATTCTCCGCTAGCCCTTACGCATGAGCCATCGAATGAGGCACAGTGGGGGCCTTGGGCAAAAGAATCGCAACCCTAGGGATGCAGGACCCTGCGCACGTCGTGGGACACTCGGAAGCCAGCTGCCCCGCCTCAGCGGCTCTCTGGATCGGCGGAGGATCGCGCCTGACAGGCTTGCGAATTCACTCCGTCCCTGCCGCGTCTGAGCCGCGAGGCTCAGAGGGAGGAGGAGGAGGAGGAGGAGGAGGAGGAGGAGGAGGAGGAGGAGGAGGAGGGAGGAGGAGGAGGAGGAGGAGGAGGGAGAGGAGACAGCCTGGTAGGGGCGCTCCTGGCCGCTGGCCGCGGCAGGGACGACGCGGACGCCACCCCGCAGCGCCGCGCCCCGCCCCAGAGGGGCTGCACCTGGATGGGGCAGGGCGCGGAACGCGCTGGTGACCAGAACGCTCGGCGCGGGCCAGCGCAGCCCCTTCGCGGCGAGGAGGAGGGGGAGGAGGAGGAGGAGGAGGAGGGGAGGAGGAGGAGGAGGAGGAGGAGGAGGAGGAGGGAGGAGGAGGAGGGGAGGAGGAGGAGGAGGAGGAGGAGGAGGAGGAGGAGGGAGGGAGGAGGAGAGGAGGAGGAGGAGGAGGAGGAGGAGGAGGAGGAGGGAAGGAGGAGGAGGAGGAGGAGAAGGGGGAGGGGAAAGATGATTGATGATTGATGATGGGAGGAGGAGGAGGAGGAGGAGGAGGAGGAGGAGGAGGAGGAGGAGGAGGGGGAGGAGGAGGAGGAGGAGGAGGGGGAGGAGGAGGAGGAGGAGGAGGAGAGGAGGAGGAGGAGGAGGAGGAGGAGGAGGAGGAGGAGGAGGAGGAGGACGACGAGGAAGACGAGGCCCTTCTCCGGCACCGCCGCCGCAGGCCGCCAGAGCCGCGGCCGCCCCGCCGAGCCGCGCCCCCGCGCCAGACCGTCGAGGAGCGGGCGCCGCTGTCGGCGCCAGCGCCGGCATCGCTGACGCGGGGCTACGGCGCGAACCGGTCGCCCGCCCCACGGTTGAATCCGCGGGCCACGGGCGCGCGTGGAGGAAGAGCTGGGCGTCACCCCCCTGGCGCCCGCCAGTCGCCATCTCCCTCTCGCCACTCCCTCCCTCGCCTCCTCTCCTTGTCCAATGTCCCGTCCCTCGTCCCTGCAGCACCCGTCAATCAGCACGTGCCCCCCCCCCCTCTTCCTGACCCTGCCTGTCTCACGCAAGGGGGAGGGGAGAGGAAGGAGTGTGGGCCGGTGGGTTGAGCAGAGGCCCTCCACCCTCCATCCCCCGACCCCCTCACACATGGGGGAGGCGCGAGGGCATGGAAAATGGCCAAGATGGCGGGAGGAGGAGGAGGAGGAAGAAGGAGGAGGAGGAGGAGGAGGAGTTTTCTTCATTCCGCCGCGCACCGCAAATACAAACCAACATGTCCGTCCAAGCGGTCCGCGTGGGGCCTAGGGCACCTCCCCTGCGCGCCTTGAGCCAAAATGGCTCCCTGACGCTGTCGAGCTGCATCGACGACGAGGCCCATGCCGAAACCGCCGAACAGCACACCAGGGCGATGCGGCCATGGGCACTAACTCGTTGCACTTGAGCCAGCAGTGCTGCCTCAGGATGACCCGCGCGCAGCCGTCGGTGTCCTGGTACTTGGGGACCTTGTACTCGCCCTGTTGGAATCCGCAGCCCTGCTCAACGACGACGCCGTCCATGTCGTCGCCAGCGCACTTCCACCTAACCCTCGCGCCGCTCGGGATCATCTGGCCTCTGAGCTGGTAGCCGTCCGCGGAGTGGCCCCTGCCGTCCGCGGGAGGCCCTTGCAGTCTATGGAGCTGTCCCCGCCGTCCTCGGCGTTGCCCTTGCCGTCTGTGTGGCGGCCCGCGTCGCCCAAGGAGCTGTTGCCCTTGAAGCTCCCCCTGCCGTCCGTGAAGCCGTTGCCCTTGCCGTCCTTGGAGCTGCCCTTGCAGTCAGCGGAGCTGCCCTGGCCATCCGTGGAGCTGTCCCCGCCGTCCTCGGCGTTGCCCATGCCGTCTGTGGAGCAGCCCGCGTCGGCCAGGGTGCAGTTGCCCTTGAAGCTCCCCCTGTCGTCCGTGAAGCTGTTGCCCTTGCCGTCCTTGGAGATGTTCTTGCCGTCAGTGGAGCTGCCCTTGCCGTCCGTGGGATTGTCCCTGCCGTCCTTGGAGCTGCCCTTGCCGTCAAAGGCGCTGCCCTTGCCGTCCGTGGAGCTGTCCCTGCCGTCCGTGAAATTGTCCTTGCCGTCGCTGGAGCTGCTCGCGCCGCCCTTGCAGTTGCCCTCGCCGTCAGGGGAGCTGCTCTTGCCGTCCGTGGGGTCGCCCTTGCCGTCCATGTCACTGTCCTTGCCGTCAGCGAAGCTGCCCTTGCTGTGCGCAGAGCTGTTCCTGTCGAGCTTGGAGATGCCGTAGCCGTGCAGGTCGCAGCCGTTCTCGTCAGGGCCGCTGATGGCGCAGGTCAGCTTGTCCACCAGAGCCTGGAGGTCATCGAGCCGCGCTGGAAGACGCCCGAGATCCACTCCAACAGCTTCCGCGTGCTGACCCGGCCTCTTGTGGGCCCCTGCCGCACTGGTGGGGCACGCGGTGGCCAATGCCCGCACGAACTGGTCGGCGACGTTCATCACGCACTCCTTGGTGAGGTGCCTGCAAACCTTGCGCGCAAGGCTGAGGGTGTTCAGCTGCCGAATGAACTTCGGGTCGACAGCGGCAGGCGCACCTCGCTGCCGTACATGTCCTTGTCGCTGCTGCGCGGCCGCCATCATCTGCAGAGCATTAGGGTCGAAGTCGCCTAGGAGCGCGAACGTCGTGTGAAGCTTCGGATACCTTCCCATCGCGAGCCAAGAGGCGCTAGGCAGGGTCCGACCGTAGGGCTCGGGCTTGGAAGAACCAAGAGGAGCTCGAGCCACAATGGCTACGAACGGAGGGAGGAGGAGGAGGAGGAGGAGGAGGAGGAGGAGGAGGAGGAGGAGGGAGGAGGAGGAGGAGGAGGAGGAGGAGGAGGAGGAGGAGGGAGGAGGAGGGAGGGAGGGAGGAGGGAGGGAGGGAGGGAGGGAGGGAGGGGAGGGAGGGAGGGAGGGAGGAGGAGGAGAAGGAGCAGCAGCAGGAGGAGAGGAGGAGAGGGAGAAACGGCCAGGCTGATGGGTTTCAGCAGAGACGCCCTCCCTCGCTTCCCCCCTCCTCCCTCCAAGCAGGACGAAAAGGGGGAGGGGGAACGAGAAAAACCATTCTGGCAGACTGAAAAGGTTCTTTTGTTTTACCCCGCCCCGCGAGGATATGTTTCACAGAAAGGGACCTTGCAGAGGGAAGAACCCATGAGGGATGGGGACATGGGAGTTGGCTGGGGAGAAGAGCGACGGTGGACAAACGGGGGGAAACAGGAGGGCCAGTCGTCTGAGGGCGGCCAGCCATCAGCGGGTCCCCCAGTCCCCGAGCCTTGAAGTCGGGCACCTTGACGTCGGGGACCTTGACGTCGGGCAGCTTGAAATCCGGCACCTTGAAGTCTGGCACATTGAAGTCTGGCACCTTGATGTCGGGGGCCTTGAACTCTGGTACCTTGATCTCGGGGGCCTTGACGGCGGGAGCCTGGACCCCCGGGGACCCGAGGGGGGGGGCAGCGGAGGGAGGGGAGAGAGGAGGAAGAAGCCCCCACACACACATCCTCCCACACGCCCGTGTGGGTGGGAGAAGGCTTTCGATGCACCACGTGCCGTCGCAGGGCATGGCCTCGCTCCAGGGTGCCCTGCATCGACACGGCGCCCCCGCATACAGGATGTCCCCCAAGCAGCCCCAGGGCTGGGGCATAAGTTCCACATTGGATTGTGGGGTCTTAGGCTGCCGATCATTTTCTGAACGGGCTGTGGAGCCCTTGCGGCAGCCTCCAAAAGCAGCTAAATGCATAACGAATGCCTGAGGGTAGTGTCCTCAGAGTTGAGGAAGCTCGGGAGGGAGAAGGTCCCAAGCACCAAATCCCTCCAGCGATTCATAAACCCCATGCCTGCCGATAGTGGCTTCGTTGACAATTTTAGAACGCTGTTCCAAAATCTTGGATCTGTCTGCCTTCCGCGCCTCCCCTCCTTCCTCACCTCATCCCTCCCCCGCCTGTGCCCCTCAGCGCTGCTGTATTACTCGCAGTTGCGGATGGGATAATCCGGGCTGGGGGGGAGAGATGAAAGGGATAGCACTGAGGGGGGTGACACACGCACCAGAGCGTGAAGCACGCGCCGCAAATCCTAGCACCACGTGCGAGCGTGCCGGAGCCTGCTCAGGAGTTCCAGCGGTTCTCGATCGTGCGACGCGCCTATCCCACTAAGTGGGGCAGCAGCCCTTGTAGCACTTGGGAAGGTGAAGCACGCATCCCAGATGAGGATTCAAGGGCACCCGAGCGTAAAGCATGTATGCTGTTCAGGGTCCCCCCGAACAGACCTATAGAGCCCGAGACCCGACTCAAGCCAACGCAGACGCCGAATCTGGTCCTTTGAATTCTGCATGGTCGCTCGCCCAGGAAAGGCTAACGGAGCCTTCGTTCCGTGGCTCCCCTCCTCTCCTCCGAATGCCTGCACGGAGCTGCTTGGCCTTCAGCCGAGCCGAGCAAGCACGACGGTGATTTCGAGGGAGGGGGGGAGGGAAAGCGAGGGGAGAGACCTGGAGAGCGGGAGTGGGCCGGGGGGCTGGGAGGGGGGAGGGGAGCGGGAGGGGACGGGCAGGGGAGTGGGGGCGATGGGGAGAGGAAGGGGCGGGAGAGGGGTGGGGGAGGGAGAGAGGGGAAGGGGCCACTCCTCATCACTCCCCGATGGCATCTGCTCGTCCTGAGCATGCACGAGCCTGCCTGCCCGCCACTGGCATGCAGGGGGGCCTTCGCGCCCCCAGTCTTGATGGGGGCGGACGGGAACGGGTTGTCCTCGTCGAAGGAGAAAAGGTCCTGAGAAACAAGTGGGGGACGCAGGAGGCTGATTGATGGGGCGCGGAGGCCAAGCCTGGCATGGCTGCCCGTAGATGGGCGCACACCTCTCATTCGCTTTCTCCTCCTCCTCCTCCTCCTCCTCCTCCTCCTCCTCCTCCTCATCATCATCATCATCCTCCTCCTCCTCGTCATCCTCATCAGCAGCAGCAGCAGCATCAGCATCAGCATCAGCATCAGCATCATCACCATCCTCATCCTCATCATCATCATCATCATCATCATCATCATCATCATCAGCAGCAGCAGCAGCATCGTCGTCATCATCCTCCATCATGAGCAGCATCAGCCTCATCATCCTCATCACCACCACCGGTCAATAATCATCATCATCGTCATCATCACAAGCAGCAGCATCATCGTCATCGTCATCGTCATCCTTACCATCACCATACACGTCAACACCATCCGATCATCATCGGCAACATCAGCATCAGCACCGTCGTCATCAGCATAGTCATAAGCATCATCGTCATCGTCATCATCATCATAAAAAAAACACCCTCAACATCATCAGCATGAGCATCCTCATCCTCACCATCATCATCAGCAGCATCAGCATCAGCATCATACTCATCAACATCGTCAGTAACATCATCATCAGCAGCATCATCATCACCATCATCATCAACAACAACATCGCGATCAACAACAACAGTCATTGTAATACTGTTCGATATCATCTGCTCGCGTGCCATGCAAAACGTGTATCTCAAACCCTCGATACCCACCCCCTTCGTCTTCGATCGTACCCCCTTGGGGGTGTGTCTTTCTTGCCTGCAACGTGTATTTCGTGCAGCCCTTAAGGCAGGGGGAAGAGAGGGCGGATGGAAGGAAGGGTCAAAGGGGGGGAGGAGGATGGAGCACGAGAGAGAGCAGCAGGATGGGGGCTAGGAGCAGAAAGCACGTGGCAGAACCAGACGGGCAGATCGGGCGGGTAGACCCTAACGGGCGGGTCGGGAAGGCGGGCCCAGGCAGCCAGGTCGAGCAGGCGGGTTGCTAAAGCGTGCGTCCTGCGTGAATCGCGAGGAAGTTTCGAGCGATAGCGCGATTCCCAAACAAATCGTTAGGAAATCCACAGCGTGAGCCTGATTTCTGAGTGTCGAGGGCGCGGCGTCTGAATAAATTGCGAGGAAGTCCCACGCGAGAGCGCAATTCTTGCATAGATTGTGAGGGAGTCCCGCGCGAGAGCGCGACTTTGGAATAAATTGTGGCGAGATATCAGGCGGGAGCCATTATTGCTGTAAACTGGGGGGCAACAACCCAGTTTCATGACACCTCACCTTCCCTGTTAAAAGAACGGGGAACGAGCCCCGGGAGGACACCGTAATATCAAAAACAATAGACACCAGAGGCGGCATCGACGATCTCTGTTCTTAAGAAATGAGAATTCGACAAATTGGAAATGTTCGCTCTGATCTGCTCGCATGTCATTCAGCATGCATGTCCCAACCCCTCGATACCACTCTCTCTTTGTCGTGTACCGTACACTCCACGAGATATATCTTCCTCACCAGCCACGAGTAGGTGGCGCAGCACCGTAAAACAGGGGAAGGGAGGAAGGATGGAAGGGACAAGGGGCAGTGAGAAGGATGAAGCACGAGAGAGATTAGCAGGAGGGGGTTAGGAGCAGAAAACCAACGGCAGAAACAGACGGGAGGGTTGGGCGGGCGGACCCTGACGGGCGGGTCGGGCGGGGGGGGCCAAGACGGCCCGGTCGAGCGGGCGGGCTGCTGAAGCGTCAGTCCTGCCTGAATCGCGAGGAAGGCTCGAGCGACAGCGCCATGCCCAAGTAAATCGTGAGGAATTCCCATCGAGGGCGCGGCGTCGGACTAAAATGCTAGGAACTCACATGCGAGATCGCGATTTCTGGGTGACCCGAGCGGAAGCCCGATTCTGCATAAATTGTGGGGAAATATCAGGCGGTAGCCCTTATTGCTGTAAACCGGGAGCCAGGGGCACAGTTTGAGACCAAAGACTTCCCCATGTAAAAAAACAAAATTCGAGCCCCGAGAGGGGCACTTCAATTGAAAATAACACAATTGGCACCAGAAGGGGGATCAAAGAAATGAAAACACAGCCGCAACAATCGCATCATCGTCATCATCACCACCACCACCACCACCACCACCATCATCATCATCATCATCATCATCATCATCATCATCATCATCATCATCATCATCATCATCATCATCATCATCATCATCATCATCATCATCATCATCATCATCATCATCATCATTATCATTATCATGTTATCATCATAATCATCATCACCATCATCATCAGCATCATCATAATCATCATCATAATCAGCATCACCATCAGCTTCATGATCGTCACCATCGTCACCATCATCATCAGCATCAGCATCAGCATCAGCATCAGCATCAACATCAGCATCATCATCCTCATCCCCATCCCCATCATCATCATCATCATCATCATCATCATCATCATCACCATCATCGGCATCATCATCAACAGAACCACCTTCTTCTTCATCATCATTACTATCATCATCATCATCAGCAGCAGCAGCGGCAGCATCATCATCATCGTCATTATCATTATCACCGTCAGCATCAAAATCATCATCAAGAGCATCGCCGTCATCATAAGCATCATCATCATCATCATCATCATCATCATCAAGGTCGCCCCTCCTCCCACTCAAACTTCTCCTGCTCTTGCCTCCCTCCTCCTCCCTCCCCCTCCCTCTTCTGGACTGACGCATTCAAGTAATTCGGCACCCCCCCGGCAGTGGCTCGCGTGACGGGCACTCCCGTGAACTGCAGGTCCGATCCGATCCTCCCCCCTCGCCCATCCTCCTCCTCATCCTCCATTCCTCTTCCTTATAGACAACTCCCCCCTGTCGCACCCTCAGACGTGTTGGGCGGGCCAGGCCTCCCGCCTGAGATTTCAGCACCACTTAGGATCCCGACTGCTGAAGTTTGCAACAGCGTCACGGGCGGAGGGCGGGCCGGTTTTTTTCAAAGCGTGCCTCTCGCCGTAGCGCCGCGCACGTGTGCACTGAGATTCTGCAACGGTTTCAAGAACGGGCGGGTGGTCTTCAGAGTGTGGCTCTCGTCTGAACGCCCTGCACATCCGTCCCAAAGGTTTGCAACAGCTCGACAGATGGAGGGCGAGAGGTTTTCAGAATGTTGCTCTCATTTGAGCGCCACGCTCATTCGCCATAAAGGTCTTCCAGCCCTCTGGCCGTAGGTGGTCTGACTAGCTCTTTCTTTCCTCTTCCAAGACCCCTCTCCCCTTCGGGGAGTGTAACCCTCCCCCTCCCCTCCCTAAGGCTTTTTTCGGCGGGGGGCCGAGACGTCAGAGGGTCCTTTCTCGCCCAAGATGGCTCCAAAAGTGCCTCCCATGCTCCAAGATGGCCTCCAAGGTGGCGCTGGATAGCGCCAGATCGCTCAAGGTGCCCGCCATCATGACTCCAAAAGACCCCGAGAGGGCCGCAAGACTGTTCCAGGTGATCTCGAATCCCCCTCGGGACCCCCCCAAGAGGCAAAAGTCGTTCAACAACCAAACGAAGCTCAATGAGTTGTGCCTTCTCGCCTGTTCGCGTGCGAGGTGCTTCTGAGGCCTGACGATGGCCCCAAAATGGCCCAGCGTACCCCACTTTTGTCAGCCACCCTTTTTAGTGAAAGCTACCAGGGGGGCACTGCACGTGCGTACGGCACCGCATGCCGAGTGCACCCTAGCGAGATAGCTACTCGACGTCCAGAAACAAACTGATGTGTCCAGCGAAGCGCACGCCGATCAGCGAAACCGACAGGGGACTGCACCAGCACACCCGAATGCCAGTGCTGAGTGCACCAGTGCAGATTTCCTCGGTCGACTTGTCTGGGCGGCCATTCTCTCAGTGCCCGAAGTCTTTGGATCTCTGGGGCGGCCCCCCGGCCGATGGTGCCCTCAAATC